CTTAGAGACAGAGGTGGTGAAACTTCATCTCGTTTACTTTGGGCATATTGCCAGGATGAGCCAGTCCTTGGGAAAACACATCGTACTGGGAAAGGCAGAAGATCAGAGAGAGAAAGGGTGACCTTAAATGAGGCAGACTGACTTTGTGACTTATAACAATGGGCTCAAGCATACTGGGGATTGTGAGCATGGTACATGAAAGGACAAGATTCACATCTGTGTTCACAGAGTCACTAAATGTTCATAGAGTCAATTCCATGGCACTTACAGTAATAATATCAACAACAAATCTTTGTAGGTGGAAACGGCCTCATTTTTCACCTGAGGAGTGACAGGTGGGTTTATATTGCCAATTTTTCAACTGACAATATAAAATCTCTATGCTTAACCTCCAATGCTACCAATGCCCTGAAAAATGTAAAAGTTCTTTAAAAATTTTATTATACTATTGAAATAAAGGAAGTAGATCAAAGTGTATTGTTAAAATAATGAACATATTTTCTTGCTATAGTTCTAAAGCTTTTGGTTAATACTCTTAATAAAATTTACAGATAAGCACATGTGGATCATACTTATTAGACAAATGTATTCCTGAAAGGAATAAATATCAAAACCCAAACCCACAGTCATCGAGTCAGCTCTAACTCACCGTCAGTGACCCTCCATGCGGTTTCCAAAGCTCTTAATGAGAGGAGACTATCATTTTTCTCCAATATACTGTGGTTGATGGAACTGAACCGCCAACCTTTCAGTTAGCAGAGGACCACACTGTGAACTACACTGAGTTCATTCCTGAGAGGCACACACAACCTTATTTACTGTTAATTTCAATTACTTCCCCACCAAAATCATTCTCCAAGGCAAGGACATAAGACACTATAGCTGTTTTGAGCATCACTTTCCCTCTTCTCCGTTTACAGAGAATGCTGACAAGAAATGAAATACAAATACACTGTACTAGTTCTTAAAGAATGGTGGAAAGCCCACTTACTTTTAAATGTCCTTGAGAAAGAAAAATGGCAGAAAAGACATAAAATCAAACACAGACTCTGATAAATTAGCATATATTCCTCCCAGGCTCTTGTAGAGACAAATGAAAAAAAGCAGAGAAATGCTTACATTTTCCTGGTTTTGCTGGAATTCGAATCACAGTGGGCTTCCTGGTGGGTGCTGGATGAACTGTGAGTTCCTTTGTTGATTCTGCTTTTGTGGGGAGCTGAAAGGGATCTAATGAAAAACACAGTTTATTTTGCATGTTTTAGTTAACAGGGATGCAAACAAAAAGCCTCATTCATAATTAAAGAGTCATATTTTTCATGCCCTAGGGAAAACTATTCATGGATAAACAAAATCTCAGTTTGCAGAGACAAAAACAAAGTTGGAGCTCATGAAAGGAAATAACTTAGTGCTCTGTAAATAATTCATAGGCTTTTCTTCCTCTGTGATGAGCGATCCAGGGCAATCTTGAATTATGTAGAAGCTTTCTTTCATGGGAATGCAGTAGTTTCCCAAGTGTTTGCCTGAAAATGAGGGGCAACTGGAACGATGAGCCAACTCTTCCCCATCCTGGAGCCTCCCTGCTACTCCAGGAAGGATGCCCCTGCCCTCTTTCCCAGACCTCTATTTCAGACCACCAGAGGCCCTGGTTCTGGCCAGCTCTGCGCAGGTGCTTAGCAGTACCAGAGTGGTTTAGTGATACTACACTTCAGTAACATGAAACTAAGGAACACGTTATCCCAGGTAGAAAACAAGACATCTTGCTTCCAATACTAAATTGAAGAGGCAAGGACAGATTTCTGCATCTTAACTAACTTGTTTAAAATGAATGGTATGTGCTTAGAGAAGACATTTTAAATAAAAGCATAAGCACTGAATGAACATCCTGGGTTTTCCTCTAACTGCAATCACTCACCCCTCTTCCCCCAAATGTAAATGCTCTTTTCACTGGTTTGGAAAAATGAACACAAACTTAAATAACTAGACCAGCAAAACTAAACGAAAGTTGTATGTTGGCCACTCTGGACAGCGCACGGCATCCCATGAGTCAGTCTTTGCCTTCACTCAACAAGATGTAGGATGAGATGTGCAGTGATTCTGCGCCTGTCTTATTGATGTTGTCTGTGGGGAGAGACTGACTATGAAACAATGCACTTTTGTGGCTCCTGTGATGAACAGCATTCACGCTCCGCCTGTGTTATGACTGCAGCTCAATAAACACCTTTTGCTGACCAGCTCTTTGCAGGCTACATAAAGAGCGGAGCCAAGAAGGAGATTATTTAGCTTCCTAATTCCTCCTTTCCCTTCCACCCCACGCTCAGCCAAAGACACTGTTTCATATCCTGCCCAAAGAATCACTCACTAATCTGTTTACTTATTTATGTTCACCATGTCAGTAACTGTGCTGTGTAGGAAATATAATGATAAAGTGCAACCCTATTTAAATCTTTTATACACACCTAAGAGACAGCTCTGGTGGCCCAATGTTAAGAAGCTGCACTGCAATCCCAAAGGCACATGGTTTGAATCCACCAGCTGCTCTGCAGGAGAAGGATGGGCAATCTCCTCCCATGCAATTTACTGCCTCTGAAACCCCTCTAAAGGGTCAGCTATAGATTGGTTCCAATTTGATAGCACACACCACCACCTAAGAAGAGCCCGATACTGCATGCCAGCTAAAATGATTATCATTAGGCTGCAGAAGAAAGACCACGAGGGCCTCTTTAGGGAAATCTATCAGCTCACAGATGAAGCAAGTCCTGCCTAAATACAGGAAGCTCATTTCAAATTAAACAACATGCAGCCAGAAACTCTATGGACTTGCATAAATGTTGATAGTTACAGAAAGGCTTCAGGCCTTTTGGTCATAGGGTTACTATGAGTCGTGTTTGACTAAAAGACAATCAACAACAACAACAACAATTTCAAATTATCAGAACAATATTATCAAACTTAAAAAACAAAAACCAAACTTCTTTAATAATACATCTCCCAAGCAACAAATGCTGGCGAGGTTGTGGAGAAACTGGAACCCTTATTTATTGTTGGTGGGAATGTCAAATGGTGCAACCACTGTGGAAGGCAGTATGGCACTTTCTCAAAAAGTTGCAAATAGAGATACCATTTGACCCAGCAACTCCACTACTGGGAATATGTCCCAAAGAGACCATAACTGACATCCAAGCACATATATGCACACCCATGTTTATCGCAGCTCTGTTCACAATAGCAAGGAGTTGGAAACAACCCAGGTACTCATCAACAAACAAATGGATAGAGAAGCTGTGGTATATTCACACAATGGAATACTATGCTGCATTGAAAAACGAGGAACTCATTCAATATTATTAAAAATGGGTGAGCCTGGAGGACATTATGCTGAGTGAAATATCTCAGTCGCAAAAGGACAAATTTTGCATGGTGCCACTGCTGTAAAATGGGACTGATATTGGTGAGGGTAAGACTAAGAAAAACTGGATAAACTGAATACTGCACTGAAACAGATGAGGGACTGAATAATTTAAAAGCGATGTATGATAGGGTATTATGGTTATCACAAGAGTCCACAATTAAGGTTGCATAGTGGAATGTACTTGAGATGGTGGGAGGGGTGCAGGGGGATTGTGTACCAGGGAAGGAGTCTTTCTTTTACTTTTGAAAGAGAGGAACGAACTGGGGGGCGGGGGGAGAGGGCTGGGTGGGTAGAGAAGTGCAGCATGAATAAATGGAAATCCAAATTCTCTGTAAATGTTCATTAAAATGATTAAAAAAAAATACATCTCCACCCCACACACCCCCCCTGTGTCTGCCTAAAAGAAACAAAGACTTAAAACTCAAAGTAAAAACCAAACAAACAAAAAAAAACCCCAACAAAAAAAAAGACCAAATCAAAGTCACTGCCTTTGAGTAGGTTCCAGCTTGTCGTGGCTGGTGGATTCAAACGCACAACCTCTGGGTTAGCAATGCAACGCCTAAGGACTACACCACCAGAGTGCCCCGAAACAAAGCTCTTGCTTTTTTTGTATGGTTAATCCCTCAATATGTTGTAATCATTATTTTTTATTTCCAAAGTACGATTTGACAAGAAAATTGGGAACATTAAGAAAATAAGAGAGAAAGTTTCTGTAATCTCCATTATCCCTTAAGTAATGATTATGGACACAAATCTAATCTGATCTGTCTACAGATTGCTTTCTATTAAAAAAATGCATGCATTATTACAGATATTCCTGAAACAGAAAACCAGAGTCATTTTGTACCGATTATGTAATGTGTGTTTTCACTTTCATTCATTTAGTAAACAGAGAATTATGCAGTAAGCCAACAGACTCTGTTGTCTCTCTCATTGTAGTCGAGTGAAAACTGACTCTCAGGGGGACCTTCATTGCATTTCTGAAGCTGTATAGTGCACTGGAGGAGATTAATAAACACGGAATTGAGGCTGTAAGCAGTAAATTCTATTGCAGGTACTGAATACACTGGTGAACCAAGATTCTGTCCTCACTGAGCTTACCTTCCAACAGGGAGATGAGAATTAGAAATAGTAAGCATATGAGAGTAACATGATGTTAGGAGGCAAGGCTGTAATTAGGTGCTGTCACATTGATGACTCATAGTGACCCTATGAATAGCCAACCTTAAACTTGCCCTTCCTGTGCCATCCTCATGCTCTCTGAGACACTAGAGCTCATTGCTGAAGTCACAGTGTCAGTCCAGTGTCTTCCTCTCCTTCACTGACCCTAAGTCTCTCCAAGCATGACGTGCTTCTCCAATGAACTGTATCACCTGCATGTCCAAAGTATAAAGGATGAAGCTTCATCATTCTTGCCTCCAAGGAACACTCTGACTGCACTTTCCCCAGCACACATCTGTCTGTTCTTTTGGTATTCCCTGGGATATTCAGTACTCTTCTTTCTCCAGCACCACAACTCAAAGACATTGATTCTTCGTATGTCATCCTTATTCATTGTCCAGCTTTCTGGTGCATAGAAGGTGACTGAAAAGACCATGGTCTGAATCAGGCACACCTTAGTCTTCGAATTAGCATCATTGCTCTTTAGAATTTTAGAGAGGGCCCTGCCAGCAGACTTGCCCAATGCAATAAATCTCCTGATTTCCTGACTACTGGTACCAAGTGTGTTGATTATTGGTTTAAGCAAGGTTAAATCATTGAAAGCTTCAATCTTTTCTCAATCTATCATAACGTTGTCTGTTGGCCAAGTGGTGAGCATCTTTTTGTCTTCTTGATGTTGAGCTGTAATCCATACCAAAGCCTACAGTCCTTGATCTTCTGCAGCAAGAGTTCTATATCCTTCTGACTTGCAGCAAGCAAAGTTGTGTCATGAGCACAGCAGTGCAGGTTGTTGATGAGTCTTCCGCTAATCCTGATGTCACACCCCTCTTCATAAAGGTCCAGCTTCGCAAATTATTTGCTCAGCATACAGACTGAATAGTCATGGATAAAGGATACGACCCTGAGTGGGTGGAAGGCAGGCAAGCTGCAGGATAAAGCAGGAGTGAGTGGGACCTGGGGGCTGACCACTAATTATGCCATTTGACTGTTTATCAACAACTGAACTGAAAGCATCTTAAAAATTATTCTAGTGTGAAGGATATAAACTGGATTTAAGGAAGAAGTACTGCAAAAAGCATAGATAAAAAGGGGTGGTTATGTTAATGAGTCCTAATGGTGCAACGAATGGTAAAGTGTTCCACTGTTAACAGAAAGGTTGATGGTTTGATCTCATGGTTTGACCTGGTGATTTGCTCCCAGAAGGATTCTTGTTGTGTGTGCCCATTGGAATCGACCCGTTAGGTGACGCTCCAGCAGGTCTTCAGAGGCAGTTAATCACACAGGAGGAGACTGCCCATTCTTCTCCCATGGAGCAGCTGCTGGATTTGCACCACGTGCCCTTGCGTCTATAGTGCAGCTTCTTACCACAAGGCTCTCAGAAAAAAATCTCATAGGGCAGCTCTACTCAGTTATAGGAGGCCACTCTGAGATAGTTGATAAGATGGCACCTAGCAATATCATCTCTTGCAAGAACGTGTTAAAGATTAGCATTCTAAATATTACTGAATCTGAGCATCCCAAATGGTTCATATATTTTGGGTATATCAGCTATAAAAAGGGAGCACTGATAACTTAGTGTAAGAAGCTGCATTGCAATCCTGAAGGCACAGAGTTTGAATCCACCAGCTGCTCCACAAGAGGAGGATGGACAATCTCC